CATTAAGCGGGTACTCATAAACATTATAAATTTTAAAAAAATTTTAAAATGAATACCAAAGCTAATTTATAAAAAATATTATATTATAGATTATATTATATTTGAAGAAAATTAAAATCAATAATAGAAAAATAAAAATTTTGAAAAATAAAAATTAATAATATGAAAATGTATATTTTTTAAATAAATAAGTATGTTTTCCCTTATAATTACAAATTTCAACTATTTAAAAAATAATAAAAGTTGTCTTACAAATCATATAAATAATTTTCATACGATTTCGATTCTTAATCCTACATATTTTTGTCTAAATTAGAAATTATATTTATTAATGAACAAAATTTTTAATATTAATATTGACCTTTAAGATATTAAAAGAACTGAAGTCATCATTTTATTTATGAACTATACTTTATTTATAAAAAATTGTTTATAAACTGATAGAAATATAAAAATTTTCTGTTGAACTTTTTGAATTTATAACCTATCTAATATTTTACTTTATTATCTTGATTTTGAACTAGTTAAAAAAATATATAAAAGTCTTAATTAGTTGATGTTTATTAAATCCTTTCTACGTACGTTTGTTCCTAATATAAACATTAGAGGACAGCAGTTGTCAAGTCGTAATATTTATTAGGTATCTATATTATCTACTGAGGGTATTACCATTTGTCCATATGTTATGCGACAACTTAGTTAACTGTGTTAACATACAATAATATATCTAATTCTAGATAATATTAAAATATTCGATTAAAACACTTAAAACAATATTAGATTTTTGAAATAATCAAATTTTTCATTCTAGTATTTCGCAATTTAACTAACAATTAATATAAATTTAATTGTTTCCAATCAGATCAGTCGTTCAATAATCTACACTAGTAATCTTTACAAACCTATTTTACTTTATGCGGTTCAAAGAAATACACTCGTTACTTCTATACTTCTTATTGTTTCTTTGCGGATAGTATTCAAAATTTGATTCTCCATCCATTGTACAATAGCAAATACATGACTCTCTCTCTCTCTCTCTCTCTCTCTCTATATATATATATATATATATATATATATATATATATACATCACTACTTTCTGAATTTAAAATTTATCTGCACGGATGAGAAGCTGCGTATTAAATCATATTATCGATTAGTGTATATTAATTATATGTATATGCACAACCATGATACAGGCTAATAATACGTTTGCTAACGGATACTATTTATTTTTAAAAAATTAATGTTTCCATTTCTTAGATTATTAATTGAATAGTTTACTTGATTTAATTTGAATTATTACTTGATAATTATTTTTAAGTATAAATTATGAGAATTAACCGCATAATATACTTTCGAAATACAGTGTGATTAATTAGCAATATAATAATACTTATTAATATATCACCTAGTCAATTTATTGTTGACAATATTTAGATGAGTTGACAAATTTTAAAAGTATAAGTTAACAAAATTTTAAAAAATAGATCGTATTTTATCATATTATTTACATATAATATAAATATTTATTATAGTTCATGTAATTTAAAAGATTAATGTCTCAGGAAAAAATTGTTTCTAAGATTTTTTAATATAGAAGATAATTATATTTGTAACCCTATAAAGCAATTATTTTTTTTATGAGATACATCTGTATATTTATTTATATAATTTTTTGTTGTTGATAATCGAAGTTGATGTCATTTTTTCAAATAAAATTAATCTAGACACGCATATACTATACACGCGCGTATATATATTTTTTTATATATATTATGTAATGAAAAATATTATTTATTAAATGCAATCATTGTATAATAAATATCATTTAAATATATATGCATATATATACATGCTGACAATATTTCATTTAAAAAATAATATTTTTCAATACATAATATATATAAAAAAATATATATATGCGCGTGTATAGTATATGCGTGTCTAGATTAATTTTATTTGAAAAAATGACATCAACTTCGATTATCAACAACAAAAAATTATATAAATAAATATACAGATGTATCTCATAAAAAAAAAAATTGCTTTATAGGGTTACAAAAATAATTAATAGAAAAAATTTAATTAAAATTAAACTGTTTACCAGTTAAATGCTTTTCTATAAATTGTATCAATCTAATTTATCAAAATAATTTTAATTAAATACTATTGAATGAGAATTAAATTTAGATTTAATTTACACCTTTAACGAAATATCGAGTAATAAATTTATAATTTTACTTATATAAATTAACTTTTAAATAAATGTGAAAATTTTTCGACGTATGATAATTGAGATTGTTTTTAATGAAAATTACAAGTACTTAACCCATTTACCCATTATACCTGTTAATAATATGACATTATACATAGACAAATACAGAAACTTATACAGATTTTCCATCGATTTACGTTGAATGTTATAACTAAATGAAATATATTGAGTTTGCTGTTTTTTTTCACAACTCGGAAATTCCATGTACGTTTATTATTCTATTGAATAAATATGTACTCAATATTTTTTATTACTACACTTATACATAATTTACAGCTGTATTTAATTTTTGTTTCTCTAAAAGGTTTCAAATTATATATAAAAGTTACCCTAATTTCATATAAACAGGAATATTGTATAAATTGTATTTCCGTGAACAACATTTCCATCAGTTAGTTTCTCTCCACATGCATTTAAATCGAAAAGTTCTGCTTATAACTTAATGAAAAAATCAATTAGTATTTTAATAAAAATTTATGAAAAATAAATTAAAATCTCTCTAATTAAATAAATTTTAATGTTATGGTTTATTCTATTTGAACTTCACCTTCCTATTGATTCTTCCTCTTGATAACGAATAAAGAGAAATTTAGTTTCTCCATTGTCAACACTATAAAGTATCATATATATTAATATTAATATATATGATATAATAATTTAATTAATATAATAATTAATACATTATATTAATTTAATATATTAATATATTATATTAATTTAATTTAATATCATATATTTACGACCGAATTCTTTTAATTCATTAACCTTATTGATCTATAAATATATATGGTTTTAAATTTTTAAATATCATTAAATTCATTGTATTATTATAACAAATTGTTTTAAGCATACTATTAACAATAATTATTTTATTATTATAAAAATGTTATTCTTCATAGTACAGTCAACAGTAATATTATAGTATTATTAGTCATTGATATAAATGCCTTCATAATAAAATATATAGAAAAAATTAATAAACTTATAGAATAGTATCAATTACTTTTATAAATAATCCTAGTAATTTCACTAAGTTCACAATGTTTAGTAATTCAATCATTCTTTATTTGAAACTAACATTTCTTACAAAATTTAAATATTAGTTTGGAGTACTGAATGTATATTACAATTTCTCCATTTAATAATAAATATAATTTATATTAAGAAATTCGCTTGTATATGATAAAATGTAAATTTTTATAAGAAATATATAAAGCTAAAAATTTTTTTATTTTATATTTTTTTTATAAATGTCATAGAAATAAAATAATGGAAACTCCTTCAGTTATGTAGTAAAAAATTAAGCAAATTAATATTACAAATTGTGTGGTTTAAAGTATTGAAAAAATTATATAGATTAAAAAAGAAAAATATGAATTTCTATGAAGTAAAACTACAGAACTGCTGTTCATTAATTTTGCATATAGAATCTTAAGTATACTATACTATAAATATAATATAAATATAATATAATATCAAATTTACTATAGCTTTGAGTTAAAAATTTGTTATTATTTTCGATTATACAGCAGGGAAATTTGCCTATTAATATTCAATTTTTACATATAAATAGTCAAATTATACAAAAGCCTTTGTATATAGTTGTAATAATATAATGTTAGAAAATAAATTAAAAAATAAATTATTTAAAAATATATTAGTTAGAACTAATAAAGAATTATTTCTATTTGAATTCTCATATGAGATAATAAACTATAAAAAAATTCCATAAACGAATGGTACAGTAACGTATAATTAAATGAAATCTATGGTCAATTTCTGATATTTTCATTATGAAAATTTCATTACCGACTGAACAATATGTTAAAAGTAAATATTTACAAAGTGGGAAGAAAAAACCTTTGAAAGTGATAAGTAATTTTTTACTTTTTGCTTAATTATGAATCTATTGGCTACTGAATAAAACAACTGATTTGAAAATAATACAAAGAGACACATTACTTTATTAGTTATTTTTTCTTGAAAAGCTGAAAATTTTCTTCAGGTTTAGAATTAAATATATTTATCTCTGAAAGATAAAATATTTGTAAAATTAAATTTTAATATAAAAATATAAAATGAATAGTTTTGTACCAAATATTTTTCAATAATAATTTATTATTTTTACAATATTATTCAGATAATATACCTATTTTAATTATTTTAAATATATTAAGAATAGTTCTATAATATTTTCCATATTTATTAAGCAATAATTATTAAAATTATAATTTTAGTTTTATTTCAATTGTTACTTTTTATAAAGGATTGCTTAATTCGGAATTTATATTGCTTGACAAATAATTATTTTTATTTTCGAATTCAATATACAAGTTAATATCAATTGGACTTTATCATTTATTATATGAAAAAATTAATATAAATTATTAAATATTCCACTTGATCGAATATACTAATTTATATTAACAATTTTGTAATTATTGTTAGCTGAGTTAAAATTCATTTCAGCTATATTCATTCAAAACTATCATATCTGTAAAATCGCAAATAAAAGTCCTTTTCCTAATCGATAAAATATTAAAACACTAAAATAAATTTTTCATGTTATGACATTGACGTTTAAATAAAAAAGTTAGTAGAATATAATACAATTATCTAATATAAAAAAAAGCCTCGTTATTGAAAACATCGTGTCAAAATTATTATTACTAATTAGTATAGTTATAACAGTTTCTTATAACAAATATTTTAAATATATCTAATTATTTATCACTATGGTTCTTCTTCGTATTATTATTATTATTATCATCTTCATTTTTGTCTTCTTTTCTATGAATATTTTCCGAAGTCATTTTTACTCTCGATCCCTCATACCTTTCATAATCTTCTATCTGACCGAAAATTTTTCGTCCTGGAATCCTTTCATTATCTTTTACGTTAAGTTCCGTGCCTATTTGGACTGACCAGGGAAGGCGATAGTTATCACCTGATCGTGATATTTGATTCTCTAATTTTTGATCATCATTTCGCATTTTATCCTTATAGTTTAATCGACTTCTGTCAGATCCTCTAGGTCGACTTTCTAAACCTATGAATTATAATAATAAATATATTTAGACTTATAAATAAAAAATAATAATATGAACGAAATCTACATATAATATTATATTATAACACTCATTATAATTTACAAAGGTATTAATATCTTTTTTAAATATAGGTTAAATGATATTTACAGTTTTATATTCCAATTAATTTCCAATTTATTTCCAATTTATTTCCAATACTTAATTTTGAGGAGCAATATTGTAAAATAATATAATTTTTAATATACAAACTGATTTATAAATACTCATATTAGTAATCACATATGAATAATAATATATACGCTAACTTTATTTACTTATTATATTTTATATAAATGAATGGTTAGAAATAAAACAGACTATAGTCTTGTTTAGTCAATTAATTTTAATGTTAATACATACATTACGTATAAATTATTTTTTGCAACTGATAATAATGAAACCAGAATTGCATGAAATATTAAATTAAAGAAAGGATATTTACCTGCAGCATAGGGAGGCTTCCTGCGATCATAATAGCTCGATCTTTTTACATAATTGTCATAGTTGTCATAAGGATATCGAGGAGGTCTCCTACTAGATTCAACGGTATTCGTTGTCACTCTATTTCTTTCTGTCCCAACTTGAATCTCTGGACGTACAAATGCATCGTAGGGTCTCGGATAATTTCTCAAGTCGACCGGTTTTCTAACAATTTCCGGCAGAGTTGCATAGTAAATGATTCTCTTAGGCTTGGGCGTTGGTTTAAATCTACCGTACAATTCGTAATCTTCTTCCTCGTCACGATAACGATCGTACACGTATGGATTCGCGACACCGGCTCCGCCTCCGGATCCTCGATAATAATAATCTCTCTGTTAGAATGCAGAAATAATATTACGTTTAATTAGACGTAGTTGAATATAATTAGTTGTAGTAACCAATAGTTTTGGTAATTTTTGTCAATTTCAACGTTTATTAAAAAATAAGCATGCAAACGAACAGAAACGAATATTCAAATATTATACAAACAATAAAAATTTACTCCATCGTTACTTTAACTCATTACTCTATTTACTAATCGTCTTCCATAAAAGTAAAATATTTTTCGATTGAATTAAGTATAAAAAAATACTATAAGCATACTAAATAGTAATTTCCATATTAAATAATTGTAATCACTTTAATATAGTTTTAATAGCCAAACCTTGACGATTCAACCTTGATATAAATTCCATTTTTTTCAAAATCCTATACAATCATAGCAAATAGATTTGCAACTGACTAATGTAAACAAAATTTAAAGTTTAAAAAATATACCTATTGCCCCTGGAATATATCGTTTGCCTAAAGAAAGCTTATACACAATACAATAATCGGTGGTCACTCAATAAAATTACTGAGCCAATAACGCGAGGAATATTTACCTGAGCACCATAGCGGTTAGGGTAATAGTAATTCCTAGGTATCTGGACATCGAAGTCATGCTCCCGTACGATATTCCGGAAAATGGGCACATCGTACTCATCATACGTGTGGGTAATCGTTACATCGCGAGATTCGCGGCCCTCCAAGTAAGCGAGATGGCGCGCATCGATGGGAGTTCGAGCGCGGGCACTGGTGACGAAGTCAGTCTTCGGGGCGTAATGGCTCTTGACGGGGATGGGGAAGTTGGCAGTCTCCTCACTGTCACCGGTGTTGCTACTCCCTTCGTAGCCGCCGAATTGTTGGTCGAGGTTGCCACGATGCCGGAACTGCGCCGACGAAGACTGTTGCGACCAAGTCTCTGGGGAGCTCATCCTAGCCTCGCGTAAGCCTTTGGAGGTAGCACTTTTCTCGATGCTGGCATCCGTCGCAACACCGCGACGTTCGCGTATTGTACCCGTGAATTCCTCTGTAATATCAGCGGATCTTTTGATAATCGGGAGTCGCTGCTCGGCGTTGTTTCCGTTTTGCAATAAGAGGGGAGAGTTGTCAAGGCGCGGCCAGATCAATGGACTTGCGGGATAGTAATCGGCTCTATCTGCCCGCGAATCGTCCCAGACAACTCTTGAACCGGACTTGGTCACCCTTCCTCTGGCGCCATTTAACATTAATAGGCTTAGGATTAAGTTTACCTTTAGCCTGAAAGTCCATTGTAATAATTGACTTAGATGAAATATTTATAGAGCATATACATAAAAGTATGAAATGAATATAAAATCGTAAGAGAAGAAGTTAATTTTATTTATCATCGAATATAAGTTAGCCGATTTTACAAACGCATTAATATGACAATATTGCCACAGGATCTTATTCTATCAGTATACATTCCTTGATTGACAAATGCAGCGGTTATGAATTTCATTGTTTTATAGTGCATAAAAATTTAACTAAAAGCGTAAACAGGCGTATTAAAGAAAATCATTTTCATCGTGTATATATCTATACATATTCTTTTCAAATAATTTAGCATATTAACGTCATTTTATAATTTTTGTATATCTTTGCAAAGAGTTTTAAGTATTCTATTCTTTAAATTTTTAATAGATCTGAACAAATTAATTTTGGAAATTATACCACCGATGACGTATGGCAATATATTTGAGAAAGGTTGCAATCCACACGAACCCTTATCGGTTGACTTTCGATCTGAATATACAACACTCGAAGCGTAAAACTTTGGGGTTAACGACACAGGCACCACTTTTTCCATTTCACCGAAAGCCCGCGCGATGACAATAGGTCTCGGACGCATGGACCTTCCTTCCGGCAGATCAAATCGACGCTGTCCATGTCGACGAAGCCGGCGAATCGAATGCGACAACGTGTTCCCGGTGAGACTCGATTCTCCATGACAAATATAATTTCCCAGTTGCTTCCGCACTATTATTGTGAGTTCCGGCATGGAAGTGGCGGGTTTTATAGGTCGGCGTTTCTGATTTTTACCCTACGGCTATCGCCGTTACCTGCACAAGCCTATCTTTTGTATTCGATATCGTGTGACCATTCGCAGACGCATTTATATGCGGAAGTTCCATTTTATTTAATTTTTCATTACAAGTGTTGTCGTTACTAAAATGCATCCTGCATGCACGGCTATTTAAAACCACAACTGTCAATTCATGGTCAATTATCATTATGATGTTTTCAAACAACCATATAAAGTCATTGAAAGGTAAATCACCTAATATTTCATTGCGTCAATGAAACGAAATACATCAATGGCATTCACTTAATATATTAATAATTAACGTTTTGCTTCCAGCAATTTACTAATTACATATTATTTTATATTCGATATTAAATGCAAAAGATTCATCTTTTAATATTTTTCGTAATACCAGAGTTAATTTTTAAATAAATTTCAACAAATTCAAAATATTTATTCTTTTAAATTTAAATGAAAATATTCTGTAATAGTTTAAATTAAATTAACATTTTATATAATAGTTTTATAAAACAATAAGAAATTGTCCAATAACATTTTTATTTTTTCTATAATGCCTATTACATGAATATCTATCAATTCTTATATTTATTTATAAAATGTTTCATATTAGCATATTATAGTTTAATCGCTACTATTTATCAATATCAATTACATAGTGATAAATTTCTTTTCACATCTTAAGATAAATTATTTTATTATCAGGAACAGTTTATACTATTCTGTGTCATAGAGTTACTTTTAATTCTTGAGATTAATGAACTATCAAATCCATGAACAAATGCACAGAGAGACAGGAAGAACTTAATTCGAGTGTTCCGTAATGATAACTTTTCATCATCTAACACGAAAATACACTCTATTATTAAATTTCTGATTTGCTGAAAGTTACTAGTATTTTTTATACTAATGCATACATAATTTATATGAAATTATGTATTTCGTTAATCTGAGTAATTCATTGTAAATATGAAAATTCTATTATCAATATTTTAAAAATATTGCTCGTACATACTATGGTTATGTATACATACTACTATGTACGTATGTATGTATATATGTATGTATGTATACATACATACTATGCATTATGCTTACATACTATGCTGTTTGATAAAAAAATTCTAACGATTCAGTATTCTCATAAGAAGAAAAGTTAATAGTATTTTATCTAAAGAATTTTATACTATGAAATATGTTTTATCCCCTTTGAATAGGTATAATACCATATATTAATTTATTCATATTATTGATATTCTAAACATTGTATATCTAAATATCATATATCAAAGCTTTAATATAATTTTTATTGTTATTTTATACTATGTAATTCAGAGGTAACGTATTCGTGTAAATACTACCGCGAAAAATATTAACAACGATTATGTTATTTGATATAAAATTTCAATAATTATATATACGCATAATATATAAATTATTAAACATTCGGTACTATTTATTAATTATACAAGAAAAAGAACAGTTTCAGGTGACTTGTTTATGCAATTTGAAATTTGTAAATAAACAACATTATTTTTATTCACACAATAATGAAAAAAAAAAGATAATAAATAAGTTATTTTTATATTATAAGATTAAGTTGAACATTATCTAATTTATCGGTTCCAACGGAGAAACAAATCCTCATATACCTTCACTAATATATAGCCGTTAACTTCATATTTCTGAACTTATATTCTAAAATGTACAGTTAGCAATTTTAGCAACGGAACTTTGCACATTTATTATGGGAAGGAGATACCAAATCACTTCACCACGTATTATGTAATTTGAATATTAAAAGAACCAATTATGAATTAATTGCATAGGATATATATATATATAATTAATTGAATCTTCAAAAAAAAAAAAAAAATATTTTTAAAATAATTAATTTTTTAACGTCATATTTAGGCATGGTTCAAAATAAAAAAATTAATATCCGTTAATTAATAATATAATTTGTAATACATATCTTAAAACTAGATACTTAGTTATGACTTATAAATAAAGATATTTACATATAAACATTTTTATATTTATATTTTTATAATTATTTATTTATTTTTATTTTAATTAAAGAGCAGACATGCATTTGTTCAGCTTTAATTCACCTTAAGGTAAAAAGGGGGGAAATTGTTAAAACCTACCTTGACATGATGTAATTTTGTCATGCGCCCTATGTCAACTGTGTGAACCACCTACGAGTACTGAAACCGAATGAGCTCCGCACAGGTCATTTACATGTTTTACCTACAATACTGCTCTAATCCCTACTACACCGCACCTAACGTCTTTTCAAACCGGTTCTTTTATTATAGTTTTGTACAACTAAGATTCATGTTTTCAGAAAAATGTACACAAATCATGCTATAAGTTTCATTTTATTTTATGCTAACCAAAATTTTTATAATTATATCAATTTTTATAATAGTATTAATATAAAGCTCTATTACTATATAAATTCCAAGGTACGGAAGAAAATTTCTGTTTGTTGCTAATATAATAAATTGATTTCTTACTACTCTGTTACGATTCCATACGTATAGAATTATGAAATATTAAATTACAAAAATTAAATAATTACTGCAACGCCTTACAAGAAACCCTTAATGGGTAACAGAAAATAATAGCATAATGAAAATGTGATTAATGTAAATATTGATAAAAAGATTGTATGATAATTTTGTATGATTTTAATACGTTTCCTATCAAAATGAACTGATTTTCCAAAAAATTTCAATTATTTAATACTTTATTAATAATTGTTCTTAAAACTCGTTATAGAAAAACAGAAGAAATAATTTAAAATTCACAACTTTATACTCAGACAGAAATATTGTATTTTTTTGTATTAACACTGAATAAATTAAAATTTTTTAGCTAAGTTATCATAATATGGAACTTAAATATCGTATAGTAATTCATTAGAAGTCTTCATTCGTAAAAGTATAAAATTATGTAATTATGGTAATTGTAATTATTTATTATTGAGAATAATCATTATGCAAAATGAACTAAAACAGTCATACTAACTTTAAAAAATCTCTTGAATCTATATTAAAAAAAAATAAATCTAAACAATTCACGTAACTTCTAAATTCATTCTTCAATATCAAAAAATTATTTATATTAATCAAATGTGAAACACACAATTGATAATTCAATAATAAAAATATATAAAATTAAACAATAAATCTTAATAAATTAAGCTGAATTAAAATCATGAATTATAAAGACCTTACGATTTTCGGTTAAATTTATCATGATAGTTACAAACAAAATTTAGATAAATTATAATTATGAAAATATATAAAATTATACCATTTCACCATAGATTTTATTCAGCAATTGCTTGCCTACTAATTCGCTGCGCGCGACGTTTCAGAAATACCAACTCTATGGTGGTAAGCATATCGATATCCGAAAGGTAATGGCAGAAGAGGGAAAAAAAATTTCATTTGGTTTTTCAAAATCTGTGAAAAAACCTGTTCTTAAAAATGTGCCGCCCAAAGAACAAAAGAAAGTTGACTACATCGAATGTGTGGATGAAAAATCAATTAAGATTGTTGGGTATGATAGAGTACTTAAATCGTTTACAGAATCCTCAGGAAAACATAACCTAAATTATATGATAAATATTAACTGTTTTAATTTTTATATTTCTTGATTTATATTTATTGTGAAATTCATATATTACTTTTAATTACTTTTATTTTTATGTTTACATTTGAAAATAAGTTCATTATTTGTATACTATAATTTATATTATATTAAATATTTAGTGATTTTAAATATACTATTGTTAATTTTTGAATATCATTTCAGTGGTGAAGAAAAAGAAGATGAACCTCTTGTTATACCAATGCTCGGTTCCAAAACTTGGCATGATAGAATAATTAACAAAGTTGACGCTGATATATTTGAACTAAAACCAAATCAGTGTAAAATTAATAATGAAGATATTAAAATTAAAGAAGAAAAAATTGACAATGTACCTAATGGTAATATATCCAATGAAATTATACAGCCTATGGAAGATTCAGAAATTAAGAAAGAACCAGATGCAATTCAGTTAACATTAGATCAACAAGCTGCTAATGAAATTATATCGGATCTTAAATCAAATGATGATAGAGTTAATGAACAAAATATTTTTAATGTACCTATTATAAATAATGAGGATTTAAAAGGAAAAGAAGAGGTAAGTTTAAAATTTTGTATCAATTCTACATGTAAAAATGAGTAGTTAAATTAAAATATATAATTTACACAGTCATCGTTAGAAGATTATGAAAATATTCCTATAGATGTTTTTGGTATGGCAATGCTAAGAGGAATGGGATGGCAACCAGGAAAAGGAATAGGCAAAAATGAAAAGTATGGCAAGATTTTTTTAATTAAATATGATTGGGATGTTTTTTTTAATATTTTTTGTTAGACACAAATAATTAAATTACATTTTTACAATTGTTTTGTAATATACATAATTTAAAATCAGTAGTAATATTTTTATTTTTTAATGAAGTTTAATTTGTTTTTTATTATTTTTTACTACTAAAAATAATTTTAAAAAAGCTAGATGAATTATAGTCTTTTTTTATAATAGTACTGAATTTATTATAATAAATAAAAATTAAATATATAGGATTGTGCCACCAGCGATACCCGAAGTACGACCAAAAGGAATGGGTCTTGGAGCAGATAAACTTGCTATTCAGCAATTAAAAGGAAAATCAAATAAAGAAGAAGAACCATTAAAATTACTTAAAGGCAGCTGTGCTAAAGTTGTAGCAGGAAAGTATAGTGGTAATTATGGAAAAGTTGAAGGATTTGACGAAGATGCGGCTAGAATAATTTTAAAATTGGCACTTGGAGGCGAAGTAGTTTCTGTAAATGAATTTTGGGTTTGTCCAGTATCTTCAACAGAATATTCGCAAAACTCTAAAGTATTAAGTGAGTTTTCATTATGTAATTATAATCAGGGACTTTTAAAGTCATAAGATTTCAATATGTTTTAGTATATAAACTGATGAAATAATGGAAACCCTTAAATACGAACATACGCTCTTATTGCTTAGTAATAATATGATATACTGAGGTGTTAAAAACTAGGAATTGAGTTTAAATTGAATTACAAATTGATTCTAGAACTCTAGAACTATTAAAGTCATGGATTTTTATTGATTTTAGATATTTGAAAATCATTTGAAAATTTTTCTATTTTCATATGGAATTAATTAGGTTAACGAACAACAGATTGCATTATACACCTATCAAATTTACTTTTACTATATTTGTTATATATTATTTATTTAATTTATTCAATATGTTTAATATTTTAAACATTAAACGTACTTCTACATAGTCTATTGTAATTTTATTAATTTAATTATTTATTTAAATTCAATACGTTTCATGTAAAAATATATTTAGTTTTTGCATTCTATTCCTTTTAATCCAAATAAGTATTAAGAGCATGAAGATAAGTTTTTTAAAAGTCCCTTTATGAATATTAATTAAATACATTTATAATGGAAGTTTTAGCTTTTAATATTGCACTCAATTGATTTTAGATGTTAAGAAGTATGAAGACTATAAAAATAATGAAATAAATAATAAAGAAAAATCAAAAAATGAGAAATCTAAGACTATACAAATTAGTGACGATGAAGGTCGCATAAGTAAGCAGACTGAGAAAACGAAGAAAAAGTCTAAAAAGAAAAACCATCGATCTTCCGATGATAGTAGTATAGATAGGACATTCAGAAAAAAAAGAAATTCAATTGACGGTAGTGATGAGGAACCAAAACAAAAGAAAGCGAAGAAATCGAAAAAGTATAAAAATCATGATAGTTCTTCAGAACATTCAAGAGATTCATCAAAGCATAATGAGGAACAAAAATCAAAAAAATTAAAAAAGTCAAAAAAACATAAAAATTGCGATAGTTCTGGAGAACGATTGAGTCGAAAGAATAAGAAGAAAGATAAGGAAAATGAAAAAGTAAAGCATAAAAAGGCAGATTTGAATTCATCAGAAAAAATAAAATCTAAAAATCATAAATCTCGATCAAGAAGTAATTCAGGAAAAGTTCATAGGCGATCTCGATCTAAAACTAGTCGAGGAAAAAATCATAAGCGATCAAGATCTATAAGCGCCCGTGAAAAAAGTCAAAAACGATCTCGATCTAGTAGCAACACAGGGAAAACGCATAGGCGATCGCAATCTAGAAGTAGCCGGGGAATGAGTCATAAGAGATCCAGGTCTATGAGCAATACAAGAAATTCTTATAGACGATCACGATCCAGACATAGCCGAGAAAAAAGTGACAAACGCTCTCGATCCCGATCTAGAAGCAGTCGGGAAAGAAGTCATAGGCGATCTCGATCGAAAAGTAGTCGAAGAAGTCACAGGCGATCACGATCTAGAAGTAACCGAAGAAGAAGTTATAGACGATCTCGATCTAAAAGCAATCTAAGGCGAACTCAAAAGAGATCTCGAACAAGAAGTAACCTAAGAAGTCATAGGCGATCGCGATCACCAAGCCCTTCAGAAAAAACTTATAGACGATCTCGATCTAGAAATAATTCAGGAAAAACTCATAAGCGATCTCGGTCTAGAAGTAGTTCAAGAAGTCGTAAGCGATCTCGATCTAGAAGCAACAGAAGAAGAAGTCACAGACAATCTCGATCTAGAAGCAACAGAAGAAGAAGTCACAGACAATCTAGATCTCGAAGTTATTCCTTTAGAAATCGCAGAAGAAATCATTCTCATAGTCACTCATCCAAGCGGTGATAATTTTGTATAAAAATACTATGTATTTATTAAAATTAAGATTTTTCTTTATGTGTTTTTTATGAACTTTTTCATTTTATTTAAATAAACAAGATACTGTACAGCTCATATTTTTCAGATATGTGTAGAATGACTTTAAACAAGTTTATATTAAATTTACTCTTATTTATATATTGAAGTATGTCTTGCTTACATAAAAATTGTATGTAGTAATAGCACTTTAAATTAACATAGAATTAATGATAAATATCGTATTTTCAAAAAATTTCATACTATATAACAAAACAAAAAAAAAATAAAGAGAAATAAAAATAAATTATTTTAATAAGGAATGATGGAAATTACTTAACGATTTGTTTTATTTTCAACACATACCTTTAATCATACTTGATAAAAAACGAACATAACCTTTCAATGATTCAGAGCTGTAAATTTGCTAGTGAAACTGTTAGAGCAATGTCATGTAAGTAAATATTACAATTAATAAATTTCGATAAATATTTATATTATTTTTTACAAATAAATATATTTTAGCAATAAGACTTGCTTTGGCACAAATATTGGTAAGTAGTAACAAAGAAGAAAATATAAGTAAAGCTGTTTCATTTATTCATAAAGCAAAGCAACAGGAAGCTAACATTATTACTTTACCAGAATGTTTCAATTCACCTTATGGAACAAGTAAATTAATTTATTATTCTTCATTAATAATATAATTTTTTATTTTATATTCAAAAGGAAATTTAAAAAATATATATTCATTTTAACAGAATATGTTTTCAACAGTTACTAAACAAACATAAAAAAAGAATCCTAATATTTACAATTATTTTAATTGCTTATAACAGATCATTTTCCAAAATATGCTGAAGTCATTCCAACTGGTGAAACTAGTATGGCTTTATCGAATGCCGCTAAGAAAAATGAAATCTACGTAATCGGCGGCACAATACCCGAAAGGGAGGGAGATATACTTTTCAATACATGCACCGTTTGGAATCCCGAAGGAAAGCTCATTGCCAAACATAGGAAGGTAAATTGTCGAAGTACATAAAAATATTTTTATTATTATTAGGAATGTTAACAGAGTAATGATTAAAGTAATAAAAATATATTTATAATTGTAAATTAATGATAAATGAATGATATTCTAAGCGATCCAAATTCTGATTTTAAGTTTTGATTAAAAATGCTTGAAAGCTATAAGAAATATTCAAAATTAATCTGTAATTTAAATGGGAATATAAAAAATTCATTACTTAACAATAATGATATTTTTATAATCAAAAAAATTAAATTACAACTATATATATTTTTAAATCAATTTTTCATAATCGTACAAAAACACCTGTCATACAAAAAATGTGAGCTTAAAATTTAACAGTTTGTTATATGAAATTATGACTATATAATTATATTTATGTACTATTTCATTTTATATTTGCAGATTTATGAAAATAATACATCTAACATATGTAATATATAATAACGTATATTTAGTCAATTTTCGCTACTGCGAGGCTTAAAAAATAAACATGTTATTTCTTTGATTAATATTGAGTAATTTATTAATATAGTAGTTTATTATTTAAGACTCGTTTCTTTCTATATCTAAAGATTTTTGTTTATTAATATTATTAAAACGTACATTATGAGCAATATGAAAATAGCGAATAATAAACAATAATACGTACATTTTAAATAATTAAGAATTGTGAGAGAGATTATATATTTAATTATTATTTTAAATATTATATAGTCGATAAAATGAATATTTATGTTAAAATATTTTCACTATATTGCATTAGTTTTTATTTTTTATTTTTTATTTTTTTTATTTTTTAGTTTTGCATTAGTGATTGTATTTTTATAATCTTTTACAAAATTAATTACTCAAGTTTAAATATCAGAAATATTAATTTTTATATAATGAATTCTTTGAAAGTAAATAAAAAAATGATGTTGTTTCGTAAAAAATGAAGTACAAAATCCAATTAAAAAAATTTAATTAATAAAAAATTGGTTGATACTTATCAACTATTATACTCTGATTTTCACTCAACCAAAAAATTTTTTTTTTAAAAAAGCATATACACCTTATTACGTATATAATAGAAAATATGGTATATGAAACAGATCTTCCCCTTAATCAATTCTATTAAACGATAAATTTTATTATATTTTTTAAAAGCGTTTTTTAATTATGTATGGCCTTCTACAGGTCAATTCATTTTAGAATTAACGAAAATGGATGCACTTTATGTAAATACGTACATAATTAATTGCACTAAAATTTTTATGTCAATCTGAAACTTAAAATAAGTAGGACTAAGAATACATTTATGATGCAGAATTAATATTCAGATTTTTTCACTTTATACCATATTATGCATAAAATAATAGTGTTAATATATATATTACCGGAATAAATTTATGTCTACGTATTTTGTTTGATAGTATATACATGAAATAAATGTAATACAAATGACAGTTTATATACATAAAACAATGATATGATACAGAGTAATATTAATAAATATTAAATTATATGTGATTATGCACGTTAAATTACGATAACGACGATGAAACAACTATTTTGTAAATATTCAGTATAATCTAAAGTAACCTATGTCTGAATAATGTCATTTTATTAAAAAACAAATTCTTATATTATGTAAAAAATATATTGATTATGTTTTATTGACTATATTAATGATTATCAACTAGAAATTGTTTGGAGTATATATTTACGATTTAAATTTTTATTATTTTATGTTTTTATTAAATTATATTATTATTAAAACTATGAATTTTTATTATTTTAATTTAAAAATTTCAGCATTATTTCGTATTGCACTACTAATATAATTTAACAGAAATATTTCATATTAATATTCTCTGTGTTTCATACGGTCGGAATGGGGGTCGTTATTTTACATATTCGGAATCCCTTACATGAAATATATATATGTTCATGATACACAAGAGAATACCCCTTAACAGATTTAGTTTATGATTGTTGCCAATATTATAAATTCACGTATTTCATATCCCACAAAATAATGAAGAATATAAGAAAACTTAATACCACTAATTGTTAACGTTGATTATAAAAATGTTTAAACTCGCAGATGTAAAGATAATAATGCTAACGTGAAAATGATTGATATATGTACAATAAAATATTCAATTTTTTTGTTCTTAATTTTGCAAATATTTAATGACCATGAAATTAAATATTTCAATATAAAACACAATATAATAATGATTGAAATTTTGTAAAATATTTTGCTTCGTTGTAATTATTTTGCTTATTTTAATTATCGTTCAATGATAGAATTTTTAATGTTAGAAATTAAAAAAGTATTAATTTTATATTTATAAAATACGAAAATGAAGTTTCAATATAATTAATTTAAAAACCTAGCTAGTTTCATTATGCCACATTTTGTTTTGGATAAAATGAAATTTAACAATAAAAAAAAATTTTTAAGAGTGTTTTTGCTTTAATTTCAAATACATAAATTAATAAAGAACTAAATTTCTGATAAATGATGTTATATAAATATTAAGACAATCATTTTCAAAAACTTTATTGATATTATTGGTTTGATAAATGTCTTGCAATTGCATAAAATATTTTGAAATAGAAAATGAAACATTATTCAATATCCTGTAATAAACTTATTCAATTGATTTTCACCAGTTTCTCTACATCGCAATATCCCGCTGATATCCCTTGAGAATAAGCAATAATCTTATTCCACAGGTTTTACATAAGTCAGCAATGAAATCTTCAATAGTTATGTCCCCGTCCGCTTGTTAAACCAACAAAGTGGATAGATTATAAAACATTCAACTATAAAAATAAACATTTGCCATATTACCGATCGTTGTAATCGACTTTTAGATGCACCTGTTCGACATCGACATTAAGAATAAGATAACGTTCCGTGAAAGCGAGACATTAAGCCCAGGTGAAACATTAACGACCTTCGACGCACTTGGCAGCAAAATTGGTATCGGCATCTGTTACGACATCAGGTTCGAAGAGATGGCCCGATTATATCGGAATCGCGGCTGCAATATACTTGTATATCCCGCAGCATTCAATATGACGACGGGGCCGCTGCACTGGTCGTTGCTTCAGCGATCTCGAGCCAACGACAATCAGCTATATGTCGCTTGCGTATCGCCGGCTAGGTCTCAGGGCGCCGGTTATATCGCTTGGGGTCACACTCAGTTAACTAGCCCCTGGGGCGAGGTCTTGGCTGAGCTCAATGCCGATGAGGACATGATTGTGAAAGACATAGGTATCTGTTTTTAATTGGGCAATTTATTTTGGTGAAAGTTTCAATGTTATTTGTTTTGCTACATAATAACACTCGATAATTTATCCATAAAAAGAATATTATATGTAATAATGATTTCCTCCCCATAATGAATAAAAATGAAAGGTCTCAGGCGCTTATTAAAGTCTTGACAAAGCTTTTGCAATACAATATCTATGAGTATAGAAAATTATTAATTATATTTGAGAATATAGCTTTGAAGGAAATTCCATTTAAATTTCATCAAAACCTTACGAAACGATTATATTCATATTATTAATTAATTTACATCGTATAATGAAGGTGAACTTTACATAATAAGATATAAAGTAGACAGTTTTCTGAATACATGAATAAATAGTAACTTTAATTCAATATATAATGTTAAGATTAAAAATAACATTAGTCCAAATAATTTGCATCGGTAATAATTCTACCGAATGAAATGGAAAGCAACATTTAAAATATTGACAGTTCGATTATTCTTAACTAATAATAAATACTGTCTATTCGTATATTTTTAAGGATTTAAATTAAATAATTAATAATTGTTTCTTTTAGATTTAAAAGTAGTGGACGAAGTTAGAGAGCAAATACCAATATTTAATCAACGACGCAAGGACTTATATGATACGGTTTGGAAAAAAAATTAAAAAAGAATGGAAACTATTAGTATAAGATTTATTAAAATATAGTTTTCTACATAAATATTTATCTACAGTTGACGTTGTAAAATATTATTATACCATCGATAATAATAACGTAAAGGGAACGGTTATTAAATATATTTAACGCTTTATTAGTGTTATTGAAGTATAATTGTATATTCTACAATAAGTGTACAATGGATTTATTTTACATAAAAGGCCACTTGATGAATAAATGACATGTAACATTATTATTATTATGTTAAGGATTATTTTATCATCTTATGACGCAATTTAATATTTTCGGTCATCATAAACTTCACAGGTACTTTTAACGCTTTTGGGTGTCTCTTAAGAACTTCCCAGTTATGCAAAAAATATACTAATATATTAATCTATTTAGTGCTCTGATAAAGCAGAATGTTCAGAAACGTTTTTAAAGATAATTTAAACGGATAATTTTTAATATTTCAACTCTTTTAATGTCAAAATCTTTTTAATCTTACTTTAAATATTTCTTGCCAGTTTAACAATTTCATAAATTTTGTATAGATAGTAAGATACAAAATTATAATTATAACAATGAAATAGACTTTTATTTTTATTCGTTTTAACAATTGTGATCAAGAAAATAAAACTTAAATGCAAGTTAAATACTATATCTTTATATATTATAAATTTTAATCTAGAATTTAAAAATTAAAAAAATCATTCAAATTATTTATTATTTCAAAAAATTATCTTATTTAAATTATTTTCACGAAAAACTTTTATTAATTAATTTACTACGAGAAAAAAATAGTATTTAATATGTAAATTTTTCAAACTAAATAATTAAATGTATGTAGTTGTAGTTTATTTTGTTTAATAATGTTTTCAATAAGTATTTGAAAACTTCAAATTTAAACAAGTTTTAACTTTTCAGATATAGTATATAGCTTGCATGAAAATAACTTTCTTTTTGCTTGTAAACATATAGAACATTACATTTAGCCATCATAATATTTCAATAATTACAAGGCGTATAAAAAAATTTATCAAATTTTTTTATTTTAACAATTAAAAAGTAACCAATTTAGAATTGGGTGTTTTTTATGGTATATTAATCCATGAATTTATTTTTACCAAGAATTGAAAGGTAAGTGATTCCAATAAAAATTACGAAGACATCCTGTAAATATGTAAATGTAAAATTACAGATATAAGTAAAACTATACGCATACACTAAGCAATTAGGCATTTTCTTTATATTTTGCGCGATTATGAAAATTGAGTCCACTTTAACCCTCTCTTTTATTTAACATACCACATAGTTGTAAATTGTTTAGTAAATTAATAAATAAATTAAATTCTGTATTTAATATCATATGAATATTGTATAATATAATAATAAAATCATATGTTACTGTAATCTTGTTTTTTTTATGTATTCGAACTAAATATATTATTTCAAGAACATAATAGCTTCAACGCCAATATATTATAACTATTATTTTAACATTGAGTTTCGATTATTCGTTACACATAAAAATAAAGCTTAAAGATTCTTCCCGCAGCATTTTCTAACATTATGATTCGATGTACAAAAAATGTGTAGCTGTATATTATCACAATCATTTATTTATACAATGGCAAATACAATATGTTATTATCAAGGAGGCCAAGTAACTTCAAATAAAATTTTAATTAACTTATTTAGAAATTTTATTATTAGTAAACTTCTCATACTACCAGTCTCTTATGTTCGACTTAAACCTCGAGCGATTTTTCAGATAAAATTTTAAACAAATTTAGCATTTACAGAGAATTTTTCATACTATACTCTAAATATTTTTAAATATTTCCATTAGTATATTTCTACTAACAATAAACGTAGCTATTTGCTTTGTGTAGTTTTTTTAATTTTTATTTATTCCAATATAATATACATTATATTATTCTCTGCGCACAATCAATTCGCGATTGATATGTTTATATAATTTTTTAAAATTGTTTTTATTAAATTATATTTTATGGTTAAATGATAAAAGAGGTGTTTCTAGTAATTTTTTAACATTTAATTATTACATTAAATATGATTTTATAATAACTCTAAATAGCTTATTTCAATATTAAAAATAGATAATATTTTACCTCTAAAACTACTTATTTTCGAAAGTTCTAAACATGTATTTAATAATATGTATTCAAAGTTGAACTTGAAATATAAAATAAAGCTGACAAAATGCCAACAAAACTATTTGTGACACTATAGTTACTAATTCAGTAATGTTTATAATGACATTAATATTTTTATAATTTGTTAAATATTTATTTATATTGTGTTTATTCTTTATTGTATTTATAAATAAAATGATGACTTTATTTTTATTTTTTTGTTCTTTGTGTTCCACAAAATATAGTACTAATTTTTTTATCAATTAATAAGAATCATTTGCTTTAATTATATAGTTTACTTTCTATCCTATTTAATGATGAAACATTATTTATTTACGACATCTCATAGATTATAATAAATATTAGCTTGAAAAATTAAAATAGAAAAAATTTTTTTTTGTTAGTGATTTTTACTTGTAAAACTTATTATTACTATATAAACAATTTTTTCTCAAAAGCTCATGTGCAATTTCGATATTTCTTTCGTTAAACTATTTTTAAAATATTTAGATAAACTCTCTTATTTATATGCTTGACATGGAATTTTAAAGAATATTTACATATAGTGAATATTTGTATTTACTGTTAAAATTATTAAGATTCTGTAAACCTGAGAAATACGACGTTACATATATAACAATTACAAATAAATGGTTATTATAATTTTATTATAATATAAATATATAAAAATTCAATATTTATATTTGAAAAATTAATAGGATTTAAAAAACCATCGTATTTCCATGTCCTTCAATATGAGAAGTTGTTCGATTACAGCAATGTTTTTGTAATTTTTTCATTTATCTATTATTCTATCATCATATTTCTAATTATATCACGTGCTATTACGTGCATAATTTTCTTTAATATCTTAACGGTTAACTAAACATGATGTAAATGTTCAAGTTTCGTATATTTTCAATAGCTCAAAAATTAAACGCCCAATTGTGTTTTGCAATATTGCAAAACATTTTATTTACTATGTTTAATAATCATGCACAATTAAAACTGCGTTATTTATTATTATACTTCGCTTATTATTGTACAAATGATAATTTACTAAAATAATATAATTTCAATTATTCGTTAATATGTTCAATGAAGATTATCGTACCGTGTGTAATAAAGTAAGCAAAGAGAAAATGAATGTACTTATTTAAAACTATGCAATTATCATCACAGTAAGAGAATACATACTATGCTAATAATACAAATGTATAAATAAAAAATAATTATAAATTCAATATTTCCATTATATTATGAGAACTTGTATAATGAAATAAGATTAACTTATAACAGAATATTTGAATTTATTAACCTATTATTAATATCTTAATAAATTAATTTTTATAAATGCACAAGTTATATTTGTCATAACAATTAAATTATAATACCGATACAATTTTATCGTTCGATATTAGTCTAATAAAAAATTAATTAATTGAACAATATGATAGTGCGCGCATGCATCACAGTGACGATAATGTAAATTCGTTTTCGTTTAAAAAGAACTAATCCATCGTAATCGTTGTAGTGCTATTCACCATAAATGCTCTTAAAATAATAAAATCGTGAAAACTGATAAAAAAAATATACACCTTACATGCATACAACTCTTAAAAAGTTACTTCATAATTTCCTACTCTTGATACCTGTATATTTCCTGTTTCTTTTATAAAATAGCTGCTACATAGATTTGCATGTATACTATCTACCTAAAAGTCGGCTACAAACATAAACTCTGACATCTTGTATGGTTGTCAGTTAATTCTTGCTCTCGGTTTCTCTCACATTCGTCCACCACTTCTCCTCAATCATTTTTCCTGTCGTATCAGCATTCGCATTAAATCCATGTTGTTTATAATACACCAAAGACATAGTCTTTAAATTATTCTCATATGTCATATTGATTTTCTCCAAATACTTGTAATGTGAATCTCTGATGAAACAGAATACTAAACACTTTTATTTACTTTCAAACCCGTTAAATATTTATACTTCTGAAAAAGTGCAAAATAATTTGAAAATAACATTTTAAATAATAGAAAATAACGTTTAAAATAAATCAACTCATTTTATTATCACAATTTTTACAAATTTTATAAAATATTAGTACCGTGAAATTTTTAGTTATATAATTTATTGTTAAATTAAGTAATAGTACTTTGTGTTAAATATTAAGTATTTCTAAAAATTGTCTTAATAATGTAATAGCAAAAATATAAGTAAATAATGACAACGACTAATTTACAGGATACCATAAATTACAAATATTCAAATACAATCTTCAGAAAATGGATTTAAATCAGTAGTGGAGTTTTTTGTGTGTGTAGTGGAGAAGAAAAAAGTAGTGGAGAACACTTTTATTAAAATTACAGAATTAAGTGATAATGGTTTAAAACTTTAAAAATTTAACTTTTTAAATAAAATATTAATTTTCAATTCTTTATTTTTAAATTTATATTGAAATCTGTAATTATATTTATAAATTATAAAATAGATACCTCATGTTTTAACGTATGACAATTTTCAACCTAATGATCAATCAAAGAGATTTTATAAAACAATAAAGATATGAAATTGGCATGATATACATTAAGATCCTATATAGGTTTGCTTTAATTTTATTGAAATAATTTTATGATGTGTATTTATATAATAACCAATTATTATAGTTACTTTTAATTGTAAGGCAGTATATTTGAAGGAAAACAATTAGCCATTTCTTAAATGTTTGATTATTTTCATAGAATTATATAGGTGTAGATTTATATATGTTTATTCATCCTATATGAGCTAATAGATTTCTTTTATTTTTATTAAATTACTTTCAATTTCAAATTTTTCTGGGACATTATCCATTACTTACTGAGTTGTGAATAGAAGTATTATTTTTATCTTGCGTCTACATTAGTACGACATATATATTAAATATTTTTAATGATATAAGGGTCCTCTAATTTTACGTACATTTTACGTGTTGTATATTGCCTGTTGTATATTTTTAAATATAAAAAGAATGTATACTCCTATGTTAAAATTCATTTCAGAAAATTCTTCAGCCTTGTGAAAATTGAAAAGTTTCACAAATTATATCAAATAATATTTAGTTGGCACAGATGCGTTGTCTTGGCAACTATTATCAGATCAATGAAACATTTATAAAGGCGGTAGCAATTTTAATCAGTTTAATGCAATCTATCCTAACAAGCAAAGTAAAACCATTATATTTGTACTAATGATAATTAATGATACTAACCATTTCTTAACCAGTAGAGACAATTTGATAACAGAGACTTCTATTCTTTTCATACGACATGAAAAGTTAAGAAGCTAGAAAGACAAAGGTCATCAGTTTTATCAGCACTGCGGCGAACGACAGCCATCGCAACAGCTGTTTTTGTTGATGGACGGACTTGGATCCTGCAGCTATAATTAAGTTGGGTTCATTCCAGTCGCCTGGGGCGTCAGTGCCATCGAGACATTCGAATTCGCAACATCGCTCGCCAACGCGAAACCTCTTGCATTTCTATAAAAAAAAAAAATAATAATAATAAACAACGAAGAAACACACATTTACATATGTATTAACGTGAATACGTCGATTTATTGAAAAATATGCGGAGCCAAACATAGCACTGAAAGAGAATCAAAATTCTTCCGTAATTAGTGCAAATGGCTTTTCATACAATTTAAAATTGCATATTGAATGCACTCGGCGGTACTTGATCGGTAGGCAATTGCTCCTCTGACAAGACAAGCACGTGGAGACATCAGAGAATCGGAGAACCGAGAGTTTTAATAATGTCGTTACGTGGAAATATATTCCGCGTGTGCATCGATAGCCCAAGGGTAATTCTGCGCCTCGAGGTTATTTAAGGCTCAATATATGCAGCGTTACCATAAGGTTTTATTAAAAGCATGGTAATTCGATGAATGAAGGAAAAGCAATTGTAAATGTTACTACATGTGTGATAGTGCTTTTGACGAGAGAACTCCCTGTACATGTTGGGAATTTCCTGTCCCATCGATTTATCTATTTTCGGCAAATTCCATAACACCGAAATATTAGTTTACTATTGCTGATCCATTCTATACCAAGAATATTATACATTTAAAATATTTTAAAATGACAAATGGAAGATTATGTATGAAATGTTAGAAATATCTACAACATTGAAAATGTGACTAGCAAAATGATTTCAATAAACTGTAAATAATATATTGTGATAATAGTGTTTTATCAAGCAATTATTTAAAACATTCGTATATATAATAAGAAAATGTAATGAATTTATAGATGTACATAGATCAAATTAAAAAATGTACTGTTGACGACAACGTAGTTTCACGGTAGCTGATTCATTGAATAAATACATATCACATATATCTTATACTTTAGCAGATAAATTGGTTGATAATAAAAATATTAATATATAAATAGATTATAAAACAAATCTTAATTGTTTAATATACAAAATATTTTAAATATTTACGCTTTGAGCAAAAAACGTCAATTATGCTATATTTCAGATGGAGATCCTCGTATAAAAAAGTAAAGCTAATATCGACATGTGTTAAATTCATTCAAATTTATTTATTCAAGGAAATTTTGTTTTTAACTTTTTAATGAAATTTTTATAGATTATTACATTTGCATACTTTATAGTAAAAAGAATTTTAGTTGGCATGATATTAAATTAAATTTAAAAGCTATCTGAAGTTTATTCTATGAAAAACAATGTAAAACTAAAGTAATAATTATTATCACAAAACAAAACACTCAACTATATTATGTTCAATATCCGTTGGATCATAAAAATTTATTACTCCTCGTTAAATACTGGATAAAAGGATTACTATCGAGATAAACTTCATTGATAATATTAAATTGTATATTAAAGAATTTAGTGATACATATAACATATGGATTTCAGCAAAATACAATGTATGATTATTTTCATTCATTTTTTAATGTGCGCCTTACTTTATTTTTGTTATAATAATTTAAAAACTATATACTATTTTAACGAAGAAAATTATGTCACTTCACTAAATAAGTATTATTATTTTTGAGTTAACCAAAATAATTTTTTAAATTATTCATAATCTATCTTATCAATCAATCTTATCAAGTTTTCAATCTTATCAATCTTATCATGTATAATGAAATTAAATTCATTCTTATGTCATTAAAAAATTAGTTTGCCATTAATGTATAAGTAGGTTATTATATAAACCAATACAACGAAAAACTGTTATCCTTTTTAGTTGTGGCAACGTTATCATAGATATCGAATCATAACAAGAGTAACTTGTACTTGTCAACATGCGCTATTTTTCGACATGTATACCCTCCTTGCCAAATTCTTATATTTCACGTATTTCGTATTTCAAAGACAAGAATATCAAATTACAAATCTTATGCTACTCGAAAATTCTGACATTATCATTAAGATGAATGAAGGTTCTGAATTTAATAGTAAATATTATTGATAAACCTTTCAAAAAAGGACAAATATAATATTTAATTTTAAATTTTTCTATTAATATCCTAATATTTAATTAGTCATTCAATAAACTTCAAACGTTATAATTATAAAGATAATTGATATATTAAAACTTTCTACATTTCTTAATTCATGTTTTACGCCTTTGATTCTTAATATCTTCGATTAAGAGATATTTACATAAAAATCACATATGAAATAATAAGAGATTAATTCTAAATTGTTTTAAACTATTTCATCATATTTATTCAAACACACATTACGTACAAAAATGGCAAGTTTTAAGAACTTCCTTGAAAATGTTTCGTCTTAATGTATTTATCTTTTAAGTTAAGAATAATTAAGTACAACCTTCGAGGTTCCATATATACGATATAAATATAGCTCAAATGAAATTTAATTAAAAGTAAATAAATATTAACATTTCGATGAAAAATGAGGTTTCTAAATAATTAAGATTCAAATGAATTTCATATATAATTAATAGAATACTATCGTGATACTTTATTATAAAAAAAATTTCCACTTTTCTTTCTCCTAAAAATGAAAATCTTGTACAAATTGTTATATAGATTTTATAAGAATCCATATAAATTAATTTAGTTATAGTAACTGAATGTAAGTGATTGTACAAAACTAGAAAGCTTACACAAGCAATTTAGTAAATAACATGCATCTTTACTGTAACTATAATATGATAATATACAGAATCTAATTATTGAATCTAATTAATTGACTTGCTACTATTTATACAGTAGAAGTTTATATAAATAATCCTTTTGAATGGGCGTTTTAAATATATTTATTATGAATACAACTATAATATTAATTTTCTGTGTAGATTATATAGTAGAAATTAGATAAATAAATTAATAAATTAATTTAATTATAAGAATATATGTGTTTGTAAATATATATAAATAAATATATTTTTGAAAATATAAGCTCTTAATTAAACAATGAAAAATTGAAATTCTAGTAATTTTAACAATTGCGCAAAAATTATGTTTAAATTTCAAGACACTTTGTCCATATTTCCTGGCAAACGACTTTTATCATTATACTCTTTAGGCCACACACCTAGAATTATATCTTAAAATGTATTATTTACCTAGCTAGCTCGTCTCAAGCGACAGATCAGTAATTGAACTTTTAATTTTCGCAACAATACCGATAGCGTAGCGCATACAAAGAAGGGATATACGTGCATGACGTCGAGTATCCGCCGTGACCCAATTCTCTATACCTCCAGATTTTGCCGCACGACTTCGCGTTCCATCGTTGCCCTCCCCCCTCGCTCCGTTTCATACTGCACTGCACTCGCTGGTCTCTCGTTCGCTCGCCCAATTCTACCCCGCGTACGCAAACATGTCTAGTTCACTTTTCTTCTTGCGCTAGTATTTGCTCTGTCGCTTTCTTCCAAGAGCTTTATTTTTATGAGTGATCGATGAAGCGAAATAGTGAGAGTAGAAGGAGCAAACTAAACCCCGCAAGCTTTAATTGCACTAGTGTCCTGGTGAATCGGTTGGCAATCAAGAGTAAAATAACAAAAAAGATCGACGAAGTTAGAATTTGTGTCCCTAAAATAATTATCATGCACTCCTTTGTGAGATGTCCTAGAGCTTTATCTTGTTATTTTAATAAACTTAATAAACTACTTAATAAACGAAGCCATGAATTTTTTCATAATATTACTACTAATATTATATATATATATATATATATATATATATATATATATATATATATTACTACTAATTATAAAAAAAAATTATAAATTACTACTAATTATAAAAAAGGTGTAAACTATGGCCTGCCAGTTTTATTGGCTACCTGGTCGATGTGAAATGCTAATAAAGAAATTAACATTTCGAGCGCCTTGCGAGTGTAGCGAGCGTCAACCGAGAATAGTAGGGGTCGATCCTTGATGGGGAACTTGACATTATCAATTGTATTATTTTCAAGCATGCAATTTTAATTCAGAAAAATGATATATACTGTAACAAATTTATGGTTAAATGAAATTATAATTAAAATTCAATTAGAAATAACTTGTAATACAATATTATTACTGATTTTAATTTATGGTCGAATTTTCATGAAATCATAGAATTTGAAAACCCATTGTTTCAATAGAATCATTCCAACCGATATGGTTTTCATTTCAAATATATTTTAAGATATATTTTCCTATAGATATTTAAGAAAAATTAATGTATCCTTAAGATATAGAAGAATTTTTTATAATGTAGATGATGTATAATTCAATAAAAAGTATAATATCTAGTATTTGCAATATTCAATGAATCAAAAGAGCACTATTCATCATTAAATATAATTAAAAAAAAATAATAAATCTAGATAATGAATAGATAACGGAAAATGTATTAAATTAGGAATTAATGTGGTTGAAATTATACAATGATAAAAATATGCGTAAAATTATAAATGTTTAAAAAATGATAACATCAACATATTATCTTATATAGTACAAAGTTTTATATAATATCATTCGATTAGAATAATATTTAATATATTTTTGATCGTGTATAAAAAAATTCTTGTTTTAAAAACTGAAAATTTATTCTTATATATTTTAATAAAAATTATATAATTTCCAATTATTTGCAATGTATATACATATAAGAAATTCTTTATATTTCAAATTCGGATTCTCCGGGGATAATATAAATAATTATGTAAATCAATTCCAAATTTGTTATGAGCACAGATATATTTTAATCTAGTTAATATCTTTTATTTAGAGCTACGCGTATTCGAACGTGCATTCTATAGAATTTAAAATAAATTGTTTAACAATTTTATTTTGTTATTACATTGAATCCTTTTAAGTTCAATTTGAATAAACATGTACCAAAATTATCCATAACTTTATATTCATTTCTCTATTTAGTTATTTTATTCATGTGCGCAAACATGTGAATATATATGTACATATTTCTTTCTTAATTCACTATTGCGATATTTAGTTCTGAAATATCATGTATATTTAGAATGC